GATCTATACGGGGGTGACTCCCCCACACCTGAGTTGTTCGCTACAGTTAGACTCGGCCAGTCTAGGGTGAGAAAATCTTGATCAAAACCGGCGTTTGGAAAAATGCCAAGACAGGCGAATTAGTCATTATTATGCATGGTTATAACGACTCACATAGAGATCCATTACCATCTAAGTATTCATGGGAAATCATATTCATACGCTGTGACGATGCAAAGTGATTATACAATAATACAAAACTATCATACTATTTAAATCGGAAAACATTGGGTTTTCCGGGGAACGACATTATTCACTTCTACTTACAACAACTATAATACAAGGAACAATTATGAAGGGCATTTCACTTTTACATGTTTTGAAATCACATACACGTATACTTATGGATCATCACACCTTTTTCGTAAACAATTTTTGTTACAGAAAATATCGGATTTTCTGGGTTTTACAAACAATACAAATCATTTTTATATCAAACCTGCTTATGAACTCACCAACATTATATATGTTGACCGTTTTCAAAATAACTTGTATTCTCAGGTAACCGTTAGAATGAAGAATTATCAAGCATGTTTCTGAAATGTCTTTTGTGTAATGTAAATCGATAAACAATTTATGTTTTGGATTATGTAATGTAAACAATGTACTTGATGTGAACAATGTCAGTTGTAATGTATTAATGCATGGTGATGCTTATGTTATGCTTCATGTATATTCATTGTGATGATATTTCAATTTAAGTCACACGAGCCCTCAGATGTTTCCACCGTTTGGTTCGGGGGTGTGACAGGACTGGAGGGTCCGACCCGAGCTGTGACACAGGAGGGTCTTCACTGATACACATGAACATAGGGTCCACACTGAGCCGTGAGACCGGAGGGTCCTCACCGAGATGCATGACCGGAGGGTCCATGCCGAGCTATAGCCATGAGAGGCTTATTATTTGTGTATGTGGTATTTTGGGGAACTCACTAAGCTTCGTGCTTACAGTGTTTTGTGATATGTGTTTCAGGTACTTCTCAGGATCGCAGGAAGGCCCGGCTTGATTGTAGACACGAGTTGGAGTTTATGTTTTCGAGGATTCTGGGATATTATCAAACAATTGTTGACTTGTGTTTTGATAACTTATACATTGTGGTTTTTGAGAAATGTGATTTGGGGTTTTATGTGATTTTAAAAATGAGAATTTTGTTTGAAAATTTAGAGTGTTACAAGTTGGTATCAGAGCCTTGGTTTGAGGGATTCAGATGTACTCTCGGTTATGTTTGGACTCAAATTGAGGATTTGAGAAAAATTTCTAAAAAGAAATGATTTTTTTCTAAAAACGAGTAAGAGCTTTTAAGAGATAAAAGGACGGAGCAGTATGTACAATCAGCCAGAGCCCGAACGGTGATTTCCCAAAATACCATTACTTGTTTGTATTATGAGATATTAGAGCTGCATGCTAGAGGATAGGCTAGGTATTTTGGAATTTAGAGATAGAGTTGTCTGATTCATGATGCCTTAGCCTAGGGTATGCTATTCATTGATCTTATCTGCTATTTGCTCTGTATGTGTACTGAGTAGGGGAAACGTAGCAGGAATCTTTTAGAGAGAGTTTTGAGTAATCTAGGAGAGATACGTAGATGAGCATTGAGGAATCTACCGAGAGAGTAGTTTTATATCTGTAAGGGATAGAGTACTTGTGAGTTAGGATCCTATGAGGAGGACTTGGGACAACTACACGTTAGTGTGGAAGGTCGTATTGGGCCCGTACTACTGAAAGCACCGGATCTGTATGCGACCCAAGTAAGAACCTTGGGATGCTAAGGAGCATGTAGGGGTGGGTAATGGTGTGAGTGCTTGAGCTAGTCTGTGATGATTTTCGTGTTTCAGAGGCATTATGGTGATTACCCGCAACAACCCCGGGAGCAGTAGTATCAATAAGTACCAAATATCTTTGAAGATAACCAAAATATAGCTTAAAATACATTAAAATATTACCTAAATATAAGTATAAATATAGCAATATCAAAATATCCCATACGCCAGGGATTTTCATATTTGTACATGCCTAGAATGGAGATTGTGAATGCTCGAAATGGCCTGAATCCATAAGGGAGATGGATCAGAGCGTAACCGCTACCATAATTTAACAATTAAGGAGATGTTCAGTGCTTTCATCGAACCCACATCTAACCCTCCTTCATCTTTTGCTGCTATGATTTTTTCCAACTAGACCCACCTAATTTTTGAGGCTCCATTACACCACCCCTTAAGAAATCTCTATGAATTTTTCATGCTGGCCTAATACTCCAGCAGGTGCTACAATATATCAATAGATAATAACTTGGTAGATTGCTGAGAACAGTCGTAATTATAGTAAGCCTGCCCCTGAATTACAGTGTTTTTGATTTCCACGTTGTGAGTTTTGACATGAATTTATTAATGATAGGCTTCCCATTCTTCTTCAACTTCATATTAGCACCCACAGGTACTCCGAGGTATGTGAAAGGAAGGCATGATGGTTCACATCCAAGGGGATTGGCCCACCGAGTCGTCTTAGCTAACGTCGATCTGACTCCAAAAACTCTTGATTTGTTGAAATCCACTTTGAGTCCTCAAGAGATATGGAAACATCGCAAGATCCTCGCTAGATTCTTACTGTTCCTTTCCGACCATTCTCCCATAAATTGAGCATCATCAACGTATAATAGATGTGAAATCATCGGACCATTGTTTGGTAGTTGCACTCCTTTAAATATATCTTTATTGCATGTAGTTTTTGACGCCACACTGATTCATTCCAAAAAATAATTAAGGATTTCTTTGTTTTCAAACATGTTGTCATTTATCAACAGAGAGTTACAAAAAAAAGTACTACTAATTCAAAACTACTTTACCAAAATTAACTAGATCACACTAGATTAATCGCCGAACAACCAAACGATCGATGTCCTTAAGTGTTAGCTGGAGCACCTTACTGCAAAACTAGTTTCGTTGCTTGATCCCTTGTTCTATTCTCAGTTCTTCTTCTCAAATAATGACGACATATCGAAACCTGCTGAAATTATATGAAAGAGATTAGGATCTCGGTTTCCTTTCCTCTCAAATTTACCATGTGTCTTCGAAGAGGAATTAGGTGGTTTTCAGAGCTGCCTTTTTAAACCATGGTGAATCTATGATTTTGGAGATTGTGCAACAACAATTTAAATTCAGATCGAGCAATTTCGTGATGAGCCCACATGTATCGAACGAAACTGCGGACACCTAAAATCTCCTAGGTAATCTTCCGGTATCGCCACAATTTTTTCATCCCGGAAAAGTATCTGACAAAAAGCACGTAGAAGATCACTCCACAAAACCATATATCACACTTTTTGTCTATTTTTTTACTTTGGTGTTACACCATTGATCAAAGACACAAGATTTGACCAAAATTTAACTAACACTTTAACATGCCAATACCCAAATGAAAATTTTCACCTTATGGGACAGGTTCGGTGACAAAGATAAAGATTCAGACAAGCTTCTAACATGTCCAAGTGTTGATAAAAGTAAATTCGCTGATAACAACAGTGAGTCAGGATGTTTTAATCATTTAGTAAAAGAAAATGGGTCTTGATCATTCGAGTGACAAAGGAAGATTTTATGCACATCCTCGGAGTGGTACTTCTCTTGTATCTAGTTTACATGAGTTTATCACGTTGGTTGGGGTCACTTGTTTACTTTGAGGGATTTAGTGGTTGTAATACAATATATCAGTTATTGTGTATTCTTTTTCTGACATGCTGATGCAGTTTTGAAAAATAGAAACAAATCCTTGCGTTTTCTGCTGGAATGACTAATTTAAATAAAGGGGATAAATGTTATTAAATAAATGAGATTTTCTAATATGTGCCCAAGGGTATATATAAGAAACATTGATTGAAATATTAATTATAAGAAATATTACTATAATTAAATATAATAGACATTAATTATGTGTAATATTACCATAATTAAATGTAAAATACATTTATAAAGAATATTATTGATAATTATTATTTATCACATTTCTTATATATACCTCTAGTACACATATTAGAAAATCACTGCATAAATATTTTAATCGATAAATCAAAATCTCCTGTGGCACAAACAACATCCAAAAAATATTGTTTCCTACTTTCAATTATTTACAACCACATCATTTCCTAATTTCCCTCATAGAAAAACTACTTTCCTACTTTTACTCTCAATTTGAATTAATTGATACACACTCCGCCTTTTGCTTTAAACATAATTTCCATTTTAATTGTATGAGTACTTCTTGAATTTCAACAAGAAAAATTATATCAGCACCCTAAAGAAAAAAAAAACACGATCATGAAGTTGTGGATATCTGCAATTGAAATCCCCAATAAACACTTTGAAATGAATTGCATCGTTCATGGTTTTACTTCGTTTCAACCATGATGTTATTTCCCTAACATTTTAGCATGTGTCGTATTTGGTTTTACTTCTTTTGTCTTGTTCTTGATACTATTTTGTTTTAACATATAGAGTGGAGCAATGATGCTTGGGTTTAGAAAGAAGGCTAACCCTAAATCACAACTGATTTGGATCTATTTTTATCAAAACTATTAAGTTTTAAAGGTTCTATATCAATATGTACTTAATAGCCTCATATTTCCTATCCTCATATAAACAAAAAACACTTGTAATAATAAAAATCTCCAAGTGGATAGGTAATATGAAACGTGGAAGTAACAAGGCCACAAACTCTCTTTAAACCAGATCAGCCATTTGTTGCATTTTGTAGTACACCTCCTAGTCAACGAATCCAAATACATAGTATTTTTCTATATATATTGATGTCAAGGTACCATGGTTTCCTTAAAAAAAAGTCATTTGTTGTTTCATTTTCAGATATTTTCCGATGATTCACTTACTTGTTAACGTCATTGTCTTTTGTCTATATACGTCAGTAATTTATTTATGCAGTAGCCAAGGAACAATAAATCCGCCAGAAAATGTTTCGGCTGTCCTAGCATTCGGGGACTCCTTCCTTGATACTGGGAATAATAACTACATCATAACACCGGGCAAGGCAAACTTTCTTCCATATGGAAAGGATTTTATGGGTGGAAAACCAACCGGAAGGTTCTCCAATGGGAAAAACATAGCCGATTTTTTCGGTACCTTTTCAAATTCATACACTCTTTGATGTTTTTATGTCGAAAAAGGATTTCTATTATTTGAACCAATGCCATAATCATCAAATAAAAACTGGAGTGTTGATAACACCAACCAAGTTTTGAAATCATACATTATAGCAACTGAAAACCCCATTATGTCTATCAAATGAACTTTAGCTCTTTCAACAAGCAAGTGTTGATAACACCAACCAAGTTTTGAAGTTCGATACATTACTATCGTTCATAGCGCATAGCAGATCGAATTGTAGTCATGGCATTTTTTTGTATCCGACATATATTGGTGTTTATTTTTCTTTTAAGTTTTTTTTAGTAAATTATAAACCTAATAAAACACCCTTGACCCTACCCCATAAAAGCTCTATTAAAATAAAAACCATATTGCTAATGTTAATAATATAGTAAGATGGATATACGAAGATGGATGCACGTACTGCTATAAATTCATGCGTCCATCCATGTTCATAAAAGATCAACTTGTCAGAAAGGCAATATTTTTGGGTTTATCATCCTCGTTGTGAACCTATATTCATCTTTATTCTGGTTATTTTTTTATTTGCGTAAAAAAATTCTTCTTGAAAATCTTACTGTTTTTACTCAAATCAAATAGATGTTCATATCAAATCAAAGTCCAATCATATATGTTTGAAATAGAAATATGAAAAATATAAATTTTACAAAGCAAAATATTTGGGAAACTAGCATATAGCATTTTGCAGCATCATCTTTAATGTCAAATTATTATTTTCATGTACAAACTGAGCACTTTCTCTTAGTCTAAATTATCCAATATATTACGTACTGTTACTTCCTTAAATCTTCAAAAAAAAAAAAAAAAAAAAAAACAAAACAAAAAAAACAAAAACAAAAACGAACAGAAGGCAACAGTTTATTATACAAGTAAACCATCTAATGCATTCATATAAATATTTTTAACTGCCTTCACTAACCATGTTAGATTCTAGGAATTGCACGGTATTAAATATAGCTACTAAAACTAGAATAGTACTATTTATGAAGCACGACATAAATTCTATATTGTTTTACGTGCACTAGTCTGTAAAGAATTAACGCAAAGGATTTAGAGGGATGTGATTGCTGCATATAGCAGATTCCTTGTAGTACTTTCTTGTTTTTGGAACTGACAAAAACTGCAATTATTGTTTGATATCAAATCCTAAGCCGAAGGATTAGGAGTGAAGGAATATCTTCCAGCATATCTGGACCCTTCCTTACAAGACAATGATCTTCTGACGGGTGTAAGTTTTGCTTCCGGTGGCTCTGGATACGATCCACTAACAACCAACATATCGGTATGCATACATATCTAGTTTTTTAATTTCTAAAAATACTTATATTTTACATGATAATTGTATGTATGCATCTATTCATGTATCCTTATGTTTTTTCACTTGTTTGGTCTCCTTCCAATTAGTCTGCTATACCAATGCTGGACCAACTAAATTTGTTGAAACAATATATTGGGAATCTTACAAGGATAGTTGGGGAAGAAGCTGTGATGAATATAATGAAAAATAGTGTATCATTGGTATGTGCAAGCACAAACGATCTTATTATATCCCTTCCGGCAAGAAGCTTAGAATATGATGTCCCTACTTATGATCGCATGCTGGTAAACTTGACCTTGAATTTTATACAGGTATTAATACCCTTACTTTTCATATTTATTCATTCAAACATTGCTATGCAAGATGGAAATGAACAAGTAGCAAGTAATTGATTAAATTAAAGCTTTGGATGAACATGTACACCTTAAGTGAATATAAATAAGATGTTTGAAAAATGACATGGCGATGGGTTTTATTATATGAACATGAAAGACATGTCATAAATGACGTTACAAACTAATAGATGTTTATCAAATTTGTTGAAGGAACTATACAAACTGGGAACACGAAAGATAGCTGTCTTTGGTGCACCCCCTACCGGATGTCTTCCTGCAGAGAGAACATTATTTGGAGGTGTACTTAGAATGTGCGTCCAGAAGCAAAATGAAGCAGCACAATTGTACAGCAACATGCTAAAAGAACAGCTCCCAGTTCTTGCAAGTAGTCTTCCTGAATCAAGGATTGCTTTTGTCGATTTCTATAATCCTCTAATAAACGTCATCAATAACCCTCAGCAATACGGTATCCACAACATCCACAACTTAATAATGCATTAAATTGAGTTGGCCAGTGAAAATATTCATGCAATGTTTTGCTTTATGTTTTTCTACACGACTTCGAAGAAAAGTTTTCATCTATTCTGTAATTTTGACGTAAAATTTTCACATGTGCATTTCAATAATGTTTTACATCCTATTCCATTCTTCCTTTCCACAGGGTTGCAAGTAACTGATAGAGGCTGTTGCGGAACTGGTTTGCTAGAGGTGGTTTTTTTATGTAACAAACTTAGCCCAACGTGCCCAGACGACTCTAAATATTTCTTTTGGGATAGCATCCACCTATCAGAGATTGGATGTAACATCTTTGTTAATCAGAGTCTACCGGGTTTGGTGGATAATTTGTTCTAGTATAATCAATGTTTGACGGGTGATATAAATTGCTAGTGTGGAGATAATACACCATGTCACATAATTAAATAAAACAATGGAAATGTATCCACATCTAAATCTGATTAATGTAAACTTAGCCTTTGTTGGCTGGTCAAAAGATATATATGTTTACATTTTAATCTTCGTTGCTTTTGGCTTTTATTACTCTTTAGTCATTAATATCAGAATTCTAATTAGCATATTTTTTTGATATTAGGTTAATGTTTTAATTAATGTTTACCAAAGTTATAATGTTTCTCAATAACCTTCTTACATTGTTGGGATAATCGGTTTATCCAAAGGAGTTTCACACAACAAGAATACAGAGTATTAGGGACGTCGCTTTTGTGACGACAAGACGTTCAGTGACGACATCAGACAAGCCACGCTTGGTGTCGCCGCTAAAACGCCAATGTCGCCGCTAATAACGTCGTCGCTAAATGTATGGACCGGAGATCTGTCGGAGACATGCCACTTTCAATCCTGGCCCCTGGTTCGGAACATGATCCAACGGATAGGGTTTGTTCATGTGGAAAGCAATAGAGACGACTCCTTTAGCGGCCACATGGGACCCACATCATATTTTAAATAATTTTCCTTGTCAAATTAGGAATAAATAAATAGTAAATAAATGAAACATAAATAAACAAGGGTAATAATATTTTTTTACATGTGTCAGGGACGAAAATCGTAACAAAAAACCTGTAAGGACGGCCCCACTGCAAAAATATCTTAGGGACCAAACATGCAATTTACCCAAACCATAGGGACGATTTCAATAATTTGTTCATTCTTTTAACTAAAAAAAAATACCGACTTTCTAAATCATCTGGGTTTCCCACGTTTAACGAATGCACAAGGTTCATTAATTTTTTTAGATTTTTTTAAAAGACCATAGGAAGTCATCTCCTTTGATCCATTATCATATAAGAAGTAAAACACTTGCCTCTTTTGGTACTTTCGTTTTGTGATTGTTCCATCTAGTCTTCAAATAAAGAAGTTAAATTAATTCTCTATTTTACCTTTACTTTTTCATGGCATTTTTCTTCGTCATAAGTTTTCGGTTTATGAAGTTAAGTTCTGTATTTTCTAAAATTAGTTCGGTACATAATTTTAAAAATAATAACGAAAGTAATTAGATTTCAGAAAGCATACACAATTTGATCAACGTGACAGATACATTTGCTTTTAGAAAGAAATTTTTATTATAATTACCTGGAAAAAAATGTCTAACAATTTACTCGAAGTTATATTGCACTTTTTATTCCAACAAAAAATCTACCTTCAATTCTGTCACTAATATGTGTGGACAAGGAGCCTAAGAGAACGAATTGATCATGAAATGTGATGTGCAGATGAATTCTAAAGATTTGTATAAACTTATCAGTTGTGGAAATATAGTTGTGGAAATATGAGAAACAAACAATAACATAGTTGTATTTCCCTTATATTTAATTATCTTCAATTTAAGTCTATGCAAGTATGACGTACGGTTTAGACACTTCATGAGATAAAAAGAATTAACAGATGAAATAGATGAAGGGAACAATAAGAACCCTCTGTTTTTATTTAAATATCTTCATATTTATATTATTTCCCCCCATTCACATGTTCAAGGAACACACCTTGTCCATTTGTTTGTTTAGATTCTTTTAAAGGAACCTTATGTCACAACAAGAATACAGAGTATTAGGGACGACATCAGACAAGTCAGGCTTGGTGTTGGCGCTAAAAAGTCAATGTTGTCGCTAAAGGTATGGACCGAAGATCCGTCGGAGACACGCCACTTTCAATCCTGGCCCTTGGTTCGGAACATGATCTAACATATAGGGTTTGTTCCAGTGGAAAGCAATAGAGACGACTCCTTTAGCGGCGACATGTTGTTGATATTGGTGTCGATCCGTTGACCCACATTGGACTAAATCTTGGCCCTATGATTCTCACCCTATCTAACGGTCCATAATCTCATAAAGGGGTCATTGAGTTCCCTCCAGAATGTCGCCGCTAATAGCCTCTCTGTCGCCGCTATTAGGGTCGCCGCTAAAGGGTTGCCCCTTTTGTTCAGCTTCCACACCCCAAACGACATATAATCTATAACCATCTCCAATGGCTCTCTCTCGCGACGATTTGCGACATCACCGCTGACGTCACTGCTCTCCACCGCCGATTGACCTCCAAAGCTGACTACCATTGCCAATTAACCTCCAAAGGCGACTACCACCGATTGCCGATTGCCACCTCTCCATTGCCGACTGTCACCTTTGATTACGACCTGGTATCTTCGGCGATGTTCGTTTTCTCTACCCATTTCTTTTTTTCTTCTTTTCTGAACACCGATTACGAACGACTAACGATTGAATGATTTTTTTTTCTGTTTTTAAGTTCCCATTATAAGGACGCACATCACCACCGATTGTAGCTTTGTTTTTCCGGCAAGAGCAGGTTAGTAAAATTGATGGTATGAATTTATGAATGTATATA